CAGATGAGGAAACCAAGCCTCAGAGGGATTAGTAATTTGCCCAAAGCTAATGGATGGAGTAGGGCGTAAACCCCGGGACTGTCTGACTCCAAATCACCACACTGCATCTAGAAGAAAAAGCCATAAATGGGAGGCTTTTTATATTCGACAAATACTTACTAAATAGGAATCATTTATTTGCTGCCTGTTTTCCCCACTAGTATTTAACTTCCATGAGGACAGGGACTTTGCCTTTTAACTGCTTTATCCCTCGCACCAAGAATAGTGCCTAGCTCCTAATAGATACTTGCTAAATAAATAAATGAACTAATGAATGAACACCTATTTTATGGTAGCCTCTCTGCCAGGCATTAGGATAAGGAACTAATTGTGGGGAGGGCTTCTGGGAGGAGAGAAGTTCAGGATCTATGAAGAGCCAGCCGCCCTCAGCATAGAAGAGAATTCCACAGGTCCATGCCTGCCTCTCAGCTCGGCGTGCTTTAGGGAAGCTCTGGGGCACCAGAATTCGTTGTCTCCTCATCTTTCCATCCCAGTGATGAGCGACTATGTCTCTGCCTAGCAGGACCCCTGGCTGTGTGTTCGTCTTTGTTTGTCTCTAGCTGTGTTGCGTACGATTTTGCATCACTCTGAACCTGCTAGCAAAGGGATTGGTATGGAAGAGAGATAAATGGCACAGGCTGTGACTGTCCTTTCAACTGCTTCTGTAGCTACCAGTGGTTTCCTCTGGTCACGTGGGAAATGCGGAGAGGATATGCAGGATTCAGAGGAGAAGGGACAGCAAGGAGTGGGGGACCTTCAACTCGTCTATTAATGCCACAAGCCCCTCACGCCTCATCCTGGGCTCCAGAGCATGCTGGGGAGGCTTGTTCCAGAAAGAGGAGAAGACAGCCACTGACTCTGGCCACGCTGGCCTCCACTGAGTGTGAAGACAGTGCCTCCCAGGAGAAAGGCAGTGGCTCAGGGCTTCCCTAGGGCCGAATCCCATCCAGAATTACAACCCAGGAGCCAGCAGCCTGGCAAACCCCATCTGGGCTCTAGAAAGTCAGGCTGTTAGAACTCTCTGCTTCTATCCTCCTTCTGCCTGGGCCCACTCCTCAGCATCCACTTTGCAAGTGGTCTGGAAAAAGGAGAAGGAGACCGAAACCATCAGATCTGCCTCTTTCAAGCAGATTTTGAGAGATCTGGCGAGGAAAGCTGAACCAAGTAAACACTCAGTGACCTGTGAGGAGATTTTTCCATCCCATGGATCATTTTGGAGCAAATGTTTCATCTCAGACCAGCTTCTACTGCTTTCCAGGTTGCTCTCTTTCACCGTATAGATTTATGTTTAGGGAGCGCAAATATTCTTTCAATGTGAACGTGAGAAAAATATATATCTTACATTTATTCACATCCCTTCTCCCTCCATCAAGTTGACCATGTTCTAAACAGTCTTTCCTAGAAATTAGGATTCTTGGTTTCCTGCCTAGAGAACTGCAAGGCCCAGGAGGCTGGGTCTCAGCAGATGAAGTGTGAGTGACCTATCTGCAGAAAGTATGAGGAAGGGATGCTTTAAGAAGCGGGGGAGGGGGAGGAATAGCCCTGTTGGTTTTGGTGCCTGAAGCAGTGACTGAGCCCAGGTGAAGAAATCTGCTACCAGTGTTTCTCTCCACCATCATTCCAACACACGGGCACATGCATGCCCCATTTCAGCAGGTTAAGGAGGGCACGTACTGCATGCAGCACTGGGTGTTATACGAAAACAATGAATCGTGGATCACTACATCAAAAACTATTGATGTATAGTATGGTGACTAACATAACATAATAAAATAAAATTTAAAAAAGAAAGAAAGAAAAAAGAAAACACCCGCTGGGGGACGAGAGTAAGGCTGTAAGTCACTACGGTACTCAGGCATCGTGCTACTAGGGAAAAAAAAATGTTTGTGATTATCTGAGAAATTAGTGTCACTGTTTCCTTTCTTCTGCTAGCAGGTATAACAGTGTTGACTTATTTTGTGATTCTATAAAATCACCCGAGATGGCCATGTTGTCCAGCTCCCTGGAGAGATTTCAGACCTTTTCCACCTCTGTTCTCCTGGTTCCTCTCCAGGGCCTGGCTGTTTCAGCTTGTGGCAGGCCTGTGGGAGGCCCAAAGAACTTCATTTGACCTTTATGGAAAGCTCCTTCTGGAAAACCAAGAAGCCCATTGAGAAGCCAAGCAAGCCCAGTTTTTGAGCAAGCCCAAAGGAAAGACTGCGAGCCAAGACACTCCCTGACTTTCCTTTGCCCCTTGAAAGTATTTGCCTTCCTTAGGCACCTAGTCCAGAAGGCTCTCCTGAGGCACGGAGCAGACTATGGGGCTGCCAGCCAGAGGGGTGGGAAACTGGTATTTATAGAGAGGTGAACTTTCTTCCTCTCCCTTGGGTTTCAGGTTTCTCCGGGTGCTCTCCTCTTGCAAAGGGAAGAGGAGGAGGGGAAAACATCAGAGTTAAACAGAGGCTGGGTCAAGTAACACCCTCAGATCAGCGAGCCAATTTGCAATTGCATGCTGGGCCAAATTCACACTCTTGGCTGGGCTGTATTTGGCAAAGTTGGAGCAATGCTTTTGGGGGCTCCAGAAGGAAACCCGGGGGGCCACACAGGCAGCTTTGGGGAAGCCCCCAGTCAACCACACAGTCATGAATACTTCCAAGGGTTTCGCCTGAGAATCCGTCATACAGGTGGCTCTGGACTAGGCTTGGGGGCGGGGGGCGGGGGGGTGTCTGGCGAAAGGCCTTGAAAAGCATAAGGTGTTTGGGAAAGAAAGGTAAGCTCTGTGCTTCTCAGGAGAAAAAAAGCCATTCCAGGAAGTGAAGGGACCATTTAGCAACTGGTAAAATCCAGGAGTGGTCTTGTAGGGTGAGTTTAATTGGGGAGAGCTCAGTGTAAGTGAACTCCCAACAGGGATTGAAATAGGAGAGGGGAATCATCAGGCCATCCATTCTTCCAAAATGTTAAGTAAATAATAAACACATCCAACTAGGGACAGAGGGGTTTAGAGAGCTAAATATAGTATCTGAAGGAATCCTGGGGCCAGGTCCTCAAACACATCCATCTCCACAGTGGAAACTTAACTTGACAGCTAGAGATATGGAAACTTGGGTGGAGACAATTTTGTGAGGGGGCAGGGAGAACTGCAGGGAAACAGCTCGTGTTTACTCAGCTCTTTGGCACCTGCGGCTTATCCCTAAGAAGCCAAGGCTCTGGGACATCTGGGAGTTCCCTGTAGTCCTGGGAGTTAGAAAGGGAAGGCATGTAGAGAAGTAACAGTGGAGTTAATGGTTGCCACAGGGTATCTTCTGGGGCAACCTCAGAGATTACCTTTTTTAAAATTTTTTGTTTATTTTTAGAGAGAGCACATGAGGGGGGAGGGGCAGCGGGAGAGAGAATCTCAAGCAGGCTCCCCGCTGAGCATGGAGCCCATCAGAACCACCCAGAGGATTCTACAAATGTCAGTGCCTGGGCCCCACACCAACCCAATGAAATCAGAACGTCTGGAGGGAACCCGACGTGGGGCTTGATCCCACGACCTCAAGATTATGACCTGAGCAGAAACCAAGAGTCGGACACTTAAATGACAGAACCACCCAGACGCGGCCCCAGAGATTCCATTTTTTAAAAAAGAAAACATTCAGGGATGCCTGGGTGGCTCAGTTAGTTAGGCGTCTGCCTTCGGCTCAGGTCATGATCCCAGGGTCCTGGAATCAAGCCCCGCATCTGGCTCCCTGCTCCTCGGGGAGCCTGCTTCTCCTTCTCCCTCTGCCTGCTGCTCCCCCTGCTTGTGCTCTCTCTCTCTGACAAGGAAATAAGTAAAATCTTTAAAAAAAAAAGAAAGAAAGAAAACATTCAGCATCCCCAAGCCGGTACTCAATCCCCTCCTCTCCTGTGACATTTTCAGTCTGTCCTGCGAAAGCCTCCTCGTTCTCCTTGCCCTCCTAACCTGCAAAAGGCTTCCCTATTTTAGAAAGAGACGCAGACACACATAAAGATAAAAACAATCAACTCTGTTGCCCTCTCTATCCCCTTTTGAAACCTTGCTCTCTCCTCCTTCTTACTACTGAACTTCCTCCCAAACCTTGCCTTTTTCTGCTGGTTTCATTTCCTAATCATCCATCCCACCCTCGAAGCCACTGGACATAGTCATCACCAAATCTGGCCTCCTAAGATACCAAACAGGCTTGCTTCAGTTCACGCTTTTCCCCAGCCGTGCTCTACCTGCTTAAAGCCACCATGTCATCTCCCGTGGATGTCACTTTTATTACAACTTTCTTTAGTCAGGGGCCTGTAACAATTCTCTGTTGCCTTCTGAATCAAGGCTAAACGTTCGAGAACCTTTGTCCCACGTCCTCCATGCTCCCTACGCATTTTAAAATTAGCGGTTTTCGAATGCTCTTAGCTAGAGTCGAGCTGCTAGATTAGAACCATCTGGGTGGCAGAGGCCAAGTCTTTTATGATTTTGAAACGACTCAATACTACTATACAAGCTGTATCATATCAAGGTACTCTCGGGTAGTCTGACCTCAAAGATAAAAAATTCTTGGACGTTTATCCTGTGACAACTCTTTCAGCTGCGGGAAAAGCCAGGCTTGAGAAGCAGTCACTTGGGAGAGCGCGGCACTGAGTGGTGGGCCACGCCATGCCTGAGATACACTAGCGGTCAGTGGCAGGGAAGACAAACGGAAGCAGGAAATGTTCTGCTGAATCTTCGTCTTGCTCTATCAGGAGAAATTTTATTTGCTTGCTACTTTGTGAGATTACTATTGGAACACTGCTTTTCCAAACTGGCCACCTATTAGAATCATCTGGCAAGTTTTTTTAAAAATGCTGGTGCCTGGGCCCTCTCCAGCCGATCTGATTTCATTGATTTGGGGTGGGGTCCAGGCACTGACGTGCGTAGAGTCCTCTGGGTGGTTCTGACGTGTGGCCAGGTGAAGCAGTGACTGATTCAGAAATGTAGGAGTGTTCTGTGTGTTGGAGGGATGGTGGAGTGTTTGGAGACCCTCCCTATTGGGGTGACCGGAAGGCGCCACCTCCAAATTCTCTCTTCTCCTCCAGATAAACCATTCTGGATTCTGTCCTGCCTTTTTTTTGTCCCTGATGTTAGCCTAGGCAAGGCCTGCTCTGATAGGAAGAGCCAACGTGTCCCCGAGGCACCGAGTTTGGAGAGCCGCCTGCTCCGGGCTGGTCCGAGGAACAGGAGTGCTCATCCCCCACTCTTCCCCCCTGTCGCCCTGCCCCCTTGGCCCACAGGGAGCGGCTGCCCGTCAACTTCTTTAAGTTCCAGTTCCGGAATGTGGAGTACAGCTCCGGGCGGAACAAGACCTTCCTGTGCTACGTGGTTGAAGCTCAGGGCAAGGGAGGCCAGGTGCAGGCCACCCGGGGGTACCTGGAGGACGAGCACGCCGCCGCCCACGCCGAGGAGGCCTTCTTCAACACCATCCTGCCCGCCTTCGACCCGGCCCTGCGCTACAACGTCACCTGGTACGTGTCGTCCAGCCCCTGCGCGGCCTGCGCCGACCGCATCATCCGGACCCTCGGCAAGACCAAGAACCTGCGCCTGCTCATCCTGGTGGGGCGCCTCTTCATGTGGGAGGAGCCCGACGTGCAGGCCGCCCTGAGGAAGCTGAAGGAGGCCGGCTGCCGGCTGCGCATCATGAAGCCCCAGGACTTCGAGTACGTCTGGCAGAATTTTGTGGAGCAAGAAGAGGGCCAATCCAAGGCCTTTGAGCCCTGGGAGGACATTCAGGAGAACTTCCTGTACTACGAGGAGAAGTTGGCGGACATCCTGAAGTAGGCCACTGGGCCCAGCCTCACGTGAGTCATGGCGCCATGCTGTGTCCCTAGCCCTTCCCTTGAGTAGAAGGCTGGAGGGCCGGTGGAATGGGTGGTATGTTTGGTTTACCCCCCTCCCCGCCCCGACGAATTGCATTTCTTTTGGTTGGCTGTAAGAACATTTTAGGAGATCCCATTTCCTTTTCTCTTTCCTCTCAATTCCTCTCCCTAAACCCTTCTCGCTTCTACCCTTTTATATCAAACGGACTTTTCCCATACTTTGGAATACTCAAGGTTGACAGGAATCCAAAATCTCTGGTGAGACAGAATGACTTGCCCTGGTCACATCTGGATGGTGCGAGGACCTGTGACTGAACAGCAGAGAGGAGACCTCACTCCCCTAAGCATGCCCCCATGGACAGGAGTCCAGACTTACTAACTCTGGACACCTTCTGGACATCCTCCTCCCACCCCCACCCCCATTTGCAGTTTTAACTCTTCCAGTGCCCTGTAATGGAGGTTTTTCGTTCCTTTAAGGACAATTTTATTTATTTTTTTCATTTTTGGTACTTTTGAAAGTCCCCAGATGGATTTGTATTCAACTTATTTATTTATTGCCGGAGACGCTTTCATGTTTTCAAACAAATGGTTCCGCTTTGAAGGAGACCAATAATTTGTGTGAATGTACAATGCAAGAACGTTTTTCTAACTTTGAGAAGACCTCAGAACAGATAGAAAAATGCTGAATTCAGGAATGGGGATATCACAGCAACATGTTCTTTTATGCAGGAATGTTGAAAGGGTTAAAAAGATGTTTGTATATTAGACAGCAGCTCAGAAGTAGCCTCCTACAGATACCAAGATGTGGAGAACTGGAAGTAAAGATTAGCTATTTAAGCAAATAATTAGGACACAATTAAGGCCAATTTGGCTTTTTTTTTTTTTTAAAGATTTTGTTTATTTGACAGAGAGATACAGCGAGAGAGGGAACACAAGCAGGGGGAGTGGGAGAGGGAGAAGCAGGCTTCCCGCGGAGCAGGGAGCCCGATGCGGGGCTCGATCCCAGGACCCTGGGATCAGGACCCGAGCCGAAGGCAGACGCTTAACGACTGAGCCACCCAGGCGCCCCTGGCTTCTTGCTGAGGGTAAATTAGACTCTCAGAGAAACAGGCCGATTACCCTCAGGAAAGAGGGTAAAAGATCCTTCACTAACTTTTTTTGAGTTTGGTCTGATCTAGCTTGTTCCCGCAGAAATGCTACAAACAAGTCCCCTCATAAGGCCTGACTGATCAAAATCCTCCAGAAATGGAGAAAGGGTCTTTACCACCCTCTTCTCCAACTTCAGTTCTGGAACAATTCACATATTAATAAAACATAAAGCAGCATGCTTCCATGAAGCTATTCATTTATTTCTGGTGTCTCTCTTAATATTCTAAAGAGAAGAGGTTGGCTTCATTGACACGTTTTGGGAAATATCAATGTTCTGGAGCTTGATGTTGGAAGGTGTCTGCTACTAGGCATGCACACAGGGTGCCTGATAATTCTTCAGCTGAGCTTTCGCCAATCCAAGAAGACACAATTTTCAGCCATTTCTTACAAAAAGCAGTGCCTATTCATTGAATTCAGTGGGAAGACGGTCAGGTCAGGTAATGCCACGTTGTACTCTGTTCACATAAAATAAGACACCACTCTGGTAGTTAGGAGTGGTAAAAACAGATTTTTAAGGGTGACCTCTGAAAATACAAAATTAACTTTTAAATTCCTTGAAGATTTTATTACTGTAGGTGTTATCACCGTCATTATAAACCCTACATAGACTCTAGAATGATGACTGGTAGCTTAATCTTAACTATAGTATAGTTTCTTCTTAAACACCTTTCAGAGCCACGGGCCACTTCTTCCAGCTGCCTAGCCAGCAAGTCCTCAGAGATGTGTTTGTATGTGTGTACTGTTGTTTTTCCATTAAGTCGAATAATTAGATAGCTAAATCTGCTATAAAAATTAAGCACTTCAAGGAGGATTAAAAGGAGCTTTTAATTTTAGATAATGGAGGGTTGTATTTTATGCTAATCTTTTTTTTTTTTTTTACACTTGGGACATTAAGAATTTATTTAGGTCGTAATATTTTCACATTATTTTGTTTTTAATCATTTGCAGTGTTCTGAGTAACACATTTAAACATTTTTTTAAAGACATGAGATAAAATGGTGTGTTTTTTTGTTTTTTGTTTTTTAAGTACAACCACAACTATAAAGTAGAGGAACTTAAGAAGACAAAGACCAAATCTGCTTCATACACAGATGGGGCAATCTAATACACAACACAACATGAATCTTTCCAAACAAGTTTGCTAAGAAACAGCTCCCATATTTAGTGTTAAAAATAAAGCAATCTTCTCTTCTCATTTAGAAAAATCAAGACATCATTTGATTAATAAAGCCTATTCTTCCCCCAGTTTTACACTTGCTTGTCTTCATTTAGAAACTGTAAATTCAGGAGAAAAGAGCAGTTTTGTTATGGTATAAAAATCTTAGGAACAAATTACAAATATTCAATTTTTTAACAAACAAAAATGTTTGCCTTCCCAAAATGTAAACATCCAGTAAATAAAACAAACATAATATTCCAGGTATAGAAACACCAATAATTCGCTTATGAAAGAGGTGTATTTGGTGGTAACATTTTTGTTTAATATAAAAGCACTTTACCAAAAGACTCACAACAATAATATAAAGTCTTCCCCCTCACCCAGTTTCCTTATCTGAGTAGAAACTCATCAATTTCTATAGAATTTTGGCTATAGGACCAGGCCAAGGAAAGGTCTGAAATATCTAAGTCATTTGGAGAAAAGTGGTTTTTTTTTTTTTTTAAAGATTTTATTTATTTATTTGAGAGAGAGAGAGAATGAGAGAGAGCAAGTACATGAGAGGGGGGAGGGTCAGAGGGAGAAGCAGACTCCCCGCCGAGCAGGGAGCCCGATGCGGGACTCGATCCCGGGACTCCAGGATCATGACCTGAGCCGAAGGCAGTCGCTTAACCAACTGAGCCACCCAGGCGCCCTGGAGAAAAGTGTTTTCTTGAGACTTGGAGGCAGTTAGTTATTCATCACTTTGCGCGTAAAAGCATTCCTCAGTGAACTTCTTCCTTACAGCCTTTAGAATAAAGCACAGGATCTGGGCTCCCGGAAGGGGTTGCTTCCAGCTGGAACACCTACCAGCAAGGCATCCTTGCAGGCATTCTGCATGCAGTACTGTTGAAGCTCTGCAGCTGCCTGCGAGACCTTGATCCTCTCCACGCCGGCCTCCAGCTTGAGCTGCTCCACCAGACGCTGCAGGGCGTTCATGCTGGCCCCGGAAGACCTGGCGGGGGCGCTGGGCTCCGAAGGCGGGGGAGCTGGGCTGGGGGAGCCGCGAGGCCACGAGCGCGAGCGCGAGCGCCGCCCCGGGGCGGGGAAACTATTTTATGCTAATCTAAAGGGAAGTGAAACAGATTAATCAGTTTGAGGGAAAAATCCACTTCCAAGTCAAATTATTTTTAAATAAAGTATTATTGGACATGTTCCACACTATAAGCCTCCTTGCATTAGTGTACATAACCGTATTATCTGGACCCATTAACATGCTTCCCTGTACTCTGAGTTATTCATGTTCCTGAAGGGAAAGGTTAAAATGTACCAAGTTAAAAAAAAAAAAAAAATTGGCACGAAATCAAGTTGTAATCTAAAAGCCCAAAAGAACAACTCTGCTTAATTAAAATACTAAGAAATGGGCATTGTTAAAGAAAATTTGCCTTATATTTCTTATTCCTTTCTTTTTTTTAAAAAAAATGACAGAATAGAATTTAACCATATATTTAACTCAAGGAGGTATCTTCTGGAGTTTTCCCTGTGTGAACCACACCAAAACATGAACAAACACACCTAACGCTGGGTAAAGTGGAAATCACAGGAGACTATGGGGGAGAAATTCACACTTGCTCAGAGGGCACACAGAAACCCTAGCTCAAAAGAAAACTCATTGTTTGGGGCCAGCGAGCTCTCGGTAACATGCTTTCTGTTTTCTCACTAAGGTCTGCCTGCTGCCACCAGGAGACAGCAGTGACATGTATGGCCATCTTGGACATGCCTGACTTCCTAATACCACTTGAGATGGACAACATTGGACACCAACCAATCCTAGTGCACAGGTCCTCCAAGGACTCTAAATATACCGCTCATGCTGTAAATCATTTAAGCCACGGCTCTCCCTAAGGCTGCTCTTGGGAAAGAGGAAAGTGAGTTACAAAGAAAGAAATGGCAACTACATATGGGCACCAGGCATCTGGGGGGCAGAAGGGCCTAATTATTCCCCCAATGGGCTGCTTGAGGCAAAGAACCTCAGACCCAAGGTCTGTGCAGATCTTTGAAATATGTCCAGAAATGCATTTTACATGAAGTTGGATTTTTTTTTTTTTTTAAGAAAAATAGCAACATTAATAAAAGAAGTGGTGTGGTTTTTCTGTGAGCAGGTTTTTTAAGGAGCTTGGGCATTTAGAAGTTACTATGAACAGTGAACAAGTCCTAGGAATAGGGATGTTCCCAGGCTATGAGCCAAGCCATAACATGAGAAAGTGGGAGGGAGGCTTAACCCAGGGCTTGTCTAGGCAACACAGGATACTAACTCTCCCAGGCCGACTTCCCACCCCAGTCTTGACCTTTATCAAATATTTTTTGAGATTACTTGTAAATGAGTGCCTTTTCCCTTCTCTGAAGACAAGGAATATGGCAGAGGGTGAAACGAAGGTCAGGGGAAATCTGTTATAAGATATCCATGTTCCCATTGCTACTTAATAAGCAATTAGCCACGTGATTAAGGAGAGGATAAGTAGGATTTCAACATTGAGACACACACCCTGTAAGATTAGTTGATGTGTGGTACTTGATGGTGACAGCAGGATGGTATCAAGTCTCCTTTCTTCCAAGGCTTGAGTCCTATGTAGAAGCAAAACTTCATGTACGAATTTCTGGGTGTTTGCCAAACTCTAACTAGGTTTCCAAGAATAATGTGCTCATTCTATCAGGCCATGCCTCCTCTTCCCAAGCTTCAAGTGTGATAAGTCATCAGAATTTGACCCTAAGACTATCTGCAAATGACAAAGCACTTTATTATATCCCCACTGAGTCACAGAATTCCACTTACAGCCAGTCCTCCCCGAGACTAGACTTTGTTCAAAGAATCAAGGCTCATACTCCACGAAAAAAATTAACCCTAATCCCTTTAAATCCTACAAAAACCAATGTTTTGAGCCAAGATTTATTTGCATAGTTAAGCAAAATACTTTGATTCTAAGTTTCCTCTTACCATCCCACTCTCATTTTCTGTATTGTGTATTCATTCTCTCTTTTCCCCTTCAGTTTTACTGTATGTGGAAAAAAGCAAAGCTTCAAAAGCCTCAGTCTGAGTTCAACAATGAACTTGGCCCTGCACTACTCCTACCCCAACGACATGAACTTGTCTGTTCCAGAAATACAAAAGAAGTGAAATACTTTTTGAAACTGCTGCCTCCTATCACACTACAGTGTGATAAGAACACAAGTCTAAAGTACAAAGATTATATTTAACCGGTGTTTTCCTAGTGTTTCAATAAGCCTCTTCTGAAACCCAGTTCTTTTTACACTTGGGAAAGCAACAAGTCCTACAACAGACCCAGAATTCACTCTAGCGAGAAAATCAATAGTTCAGGCTAGTTTAACTTTTTATATTCTTAAGTAGGCTCCACCTCTCATGTGGGGCTTGAACTCACAATCCCAACCTTAAGAGTCACATGCTCTATTGACTGAGCTAGCCAGGTGTAATCTCCTGATCACACAGGAGAACGTGGACACATCCACAGCACGCATCTGTTCACAGATGAAAACAGCTTACCATAGTAATGGTAAAAAAGAATTCCACTAGTTTTCCCAGTACCTTTGATACTGAATCCAGGAACCTATTCTCTCACTGTAAACACTGGAGTGGATCAAGTGCTGCTCTCTTAGCTAAAGAAGAAAAAGGGACTAATATGTACTGTTTTCCATCCCAGCTGGCTGCATGATCACAATCCTCTCTGCAGCTTAATGACACAAAGAAATGTAGCCATTTCCCCCACCCCACCCCAAACTGCCAAACTAGAGTTTTTGAAGGAAGTGGGCCTTCTTCTTAAAAGATTCATTAAGGAAGGATTTTGTTGAGAACCACTGATTTGTTGAGTCATTACTCTGCCCTAAGCAATTCAGCAGATATTTCATATACATTATTTCATTTATTCCATGACTGAATTCAGACCCGTTCAATTGCAGAAGCTATGTGGTAGACAGAAGAGAGCAAGAGTTCACCATGAGGAGATTCTAAACATCTGCCTTTCCAGTAATGCTGACCCACAGTTCTTGTCCGTTCTTATTTCTTCTCACCCTGCTGCTCTTCCCACTGGACCTTTTGTCTGATTCTTCCCAATTAGTTACAGGCGAATCCTCCATTACCCAGGTCCAGAACAACAGCCGTGTGCACAGAACCTCATTGGACCCCCAAGAAAAAGATGTTTATTTTTCCTTTTCTGTCACCACAAATTTCTTGTTAACAACCTAAGACTCATTTTTGTAACTTAAAACCCATAATTCTCTCCTAGAATGACATAAGGATAATACCAAGCAAGCTCACAAATGACAAAAGACGCAAAACTAATTGAAATGTTCATCCTTCCTGAAATTTCTCTTAAACAGCAGAAAAGTAGAATCAGTGCTGCCACCTACTGGCAAGCCAAACAAGTCAGGTCGTATCCTGGATGAAAACAGGTCAGAGGCCCAACATCTGATTTCCTTGCCTAATATGAGGCATTCTACTCCTTACCTTCCTGAAGGAAAAAAAAAAAAATCACAGCAACATTTCCCAAGCAATCCCTCCTCCAGAGTCCCAGTCCCATCATGAGAATACAGCAACCCAAGTCTGGCCTGTGACACAGACTACTTCACACGAATCTTTCCTCAGACTGTTTTCAGGTCAGTTCGTCCAGTGCTACAGTCCAGTAGGGATCACACAGGAGAACGTGGACACATCCACACCACGCATCTGTTCACAGTGTGTACACAGTAATTCTGATGTCTGTGGCTTCAAACACCTCTTCAATCATTGCAGATACATTTTCCCATTGCAGACGATCAAGACCACATCCAATCCTGAAAAAGACAAACAGCTCCACGGGTTGTGATGAAGGTACCTAGGAAATCATTTCTTCCCTCTTCCTTTAGGCTGCACCCACCCAAAGCATAAAGACAAATGATCTGGTCTCACACCCATGGTGGGAGTTTGGAAGTGAATTCCTATTGTGAGTCACCTAATCTGTTCCTAGATGGCCCAACGTCCAACAGCTATCACTTCTCTTTTGCTAATAAGATGCCACTTCTCAGTTGTTTGAGGCTACCTTGAGAAAATGGGTGACTGCGGTGACATGGAGACTCACTATCCTTCTTTATTGATAAAAACTAGCTGGGATTTTAAAAACACACTTATGATAATGAAATGCTAAGGAAGATAAAAAGAGGCACAAAGGACAAGATCTTGGCAAAAAGGAAATCAAAATGAAATGCTGGGAAATGCCAAGCTGATTACAGTTCAGGTCTTTGCAACACCCTGGTGAGAAACCTGAGTCAGCCCACAAAACTCTCCTACCTGGCACCTTTCTTCTAAGATGTTACTTTATTGATCCTCAATATCCCTAAGGGGGAAAGACTCAAAATTGCTAATTTCATATAGTCTGATAATTTAAGTCCGTAAAAAAATTGTGATAAAAACACTAACAGTTTCTGATACAGAAGACATGAATACATTACAGCCCAGGGTAAGTGAGGGATTTTGTAGCCACATTCATAAGTAACTTGGGGCTTAGAACAAACCTGCATGCATGGTCAGCACAGACTCAAAATTAGACTGACAGGAAGAGAAATGACCCCAAGAGCCTACTCCCTAAAAAGAAAGTAAAGAGGATATTGAACCCCCAATGCCATTCCCTCAGGCTCCCAATATCGAGGGTCTAATACATTACATAAGGGACCTATCCTCTGGCTACTACCACACTGACCACAACAAGCATGCAGTTTAAGGCAGTGATAATTTACAACCTTCTTTGCACCAGATTAATAAGCTTGGGACACGTGAAATGGCCCAGAAGAATATCACAATTGCTCAGTCTTGGTTCTTAGGCTTTTACTGCTTCAAGAACAGAGCCTCAGCCTCAGGCAGAAGATGCCCAGAATTCAACAAAGATGACTAACCAACAGATCCTCCCTACAAAGTAGGCTGAAGCAGGTGTGTTTTAATTATCCTGATTCATTCAACCCAGGCTAAGAAATGGGTATAATGTGGCCTAAAGTCTGATCACTGGTTCACTGGTGATTTTTAGAAGTTTTTAAATTTGTCCCCTTTTAAGCCTATATTTTGGGTTAAGCTTTCAAGTCAGACAGCAAATCCCACCACTCAGTTACAAGTATTTAGGGCCCTGGATTTCCTTGCCTGGGCATGGAGAGATCGGTGACTCCATTCTTCAGACAGTGGGACTTCATGGCCTCTAAACTCTTCTGTAAGTTTTCATAAGTTGGCTTATGTGAAGCCCTTTTCTTTGTAATCTGAGTACAAAGAATGAATTCAAACTTCCATTAGTCCAAAATGACAGCCAAAGAAGAGCCATCACATTCTCCCAACATCCTGATAATTAAAATAAGTGTATTTCTATAGAAGAGTTCAGAGCAGAATGACAAATGTCATACTGTCTTTTCCAGTTATGGGAGGCCCTCAGGAAAATCTACTAAACGGGGCCTGAGAAACCCAGACACTGCCACGTGATAACCTTTCCTTTTCCCAAAAAGCCCATATTAGCAGGCAGTGCCTATTGTCTATTGTTTTTAAGCAAGGTAGGTCAAAGTCTTTGTGCCACTTCCAAGAGATAAGCAATATATCTGCAACAAGGAAGAACCCATACCACCTGAAAACTTCCTGTTAAGTCTATTTAGAAATCATGCTTATTTGCTTTTTGTTTCTCTATAGAACAAAGAGAAATTGGTAGTGTTCCAAACAAGACTGGAAGCCACATCGGCCTTAAGGAGAGCATCCAAAGACTTTAAGACATGTCCCCACTCAGTGTGCTGTCCAAATCAGACGTGTAGTGGGTTGGTTGCTCTAAGTGACCTAGCACCATCACCAAGAAGCTACACTCCTTCTGGGGCCTGAAGACCATTTGGAGAGTGAAAAAATCCCACATTGAGGCAAAAGGCAGGAAAGGAGTTAAGTAATACTAGGCACTGCATTCAATAGGGAAGAATGAGAGAAAAACTCCTTTGGGCAATCTGTCTTTTGAGAAACTACTGTTTCTATCGCACTCTAATTAGGAAAGAACTGAAATATGTGGGACATCCCTAACTTTTCCAACTCTCAGAACAGAGGCTTTTGGTGGCTGTCACAGTACTCTTCACCGTGGAGCTGGGATGCAGCCTCATGTTCCTTTCTAACCCAGTGCTCCACAGAGCCACCACCACTTGATCTAAGTGAGCATGAGATCAGAAGCTTTTTGTCATCTTTGGTTGTCTAGAATCATGATCGACAAATGCAGTACAGCCCATGTGTTCACCAGTCCTTATGACCTAGTGAGAAATTGACATAGTGAGAATTGACCCCCATCTTACCAAGTAATATATATATCGCCCATCTCTCTTCAGAACAGCCACTTCTCCAGATTTCTTTTCTAAGAAAAAGTCATTTAATAGTAGAAAGGTAAAAAAACAAAAACAAAGCACCGATTTGCATTCTTCAATTTGAAAAAAAAATCTTTACAGATCTGAGTTCACTTCAGAGCTAAAAATAATTTTCAATTCTGAAGAAACACTCTGTAACCCTTTCCTCCTTCCTTAACTTCCAGCTTTCTTATTCATTTTTTTGTTCTTGTTTTCCTCTTACCCCATCTTTTGTCCTGATCATATTTTCAAATACACCCATACTCACTTTAAAAACTTCAGTGATTTTTTTACAGACAAAGGGTTATTTATTGTGCTAAGCATTGTGGAGAACATAGATATATAAAAGTTTCTAATGACCAAAGAGTTTTCAATGAAGAGACAGTGTCATGTTTACAAAGAACTACGATAAAAAAGTTAAGAAATTGTTTTAAAGCAATCACCAGGGGACTGGCCCAATAAGCCTGGACTATGATCTAAACAACTGTTACAGAAGCTCTACAGATGGTTCTAACACGTATCTCTGGTTTAAAATCTCGGTAGAAAGTGATGAGAAGGGTAAGGAAGAGGTTTCTAAACTCCTCTTTGAAGAGTAAGTACAATATGGGTAAACAGAGGATCCTGAATGCTGAGCTAATACCTGTGGAACTGAAGCGAAGCACTTCAGTTATTAAAGGTTTCAGAAAAGTAGAGTAATATCAAAAAAGTTTTAAGACAGAGGAAGAGATTAGAAACCTTTACAAGAATTCAAGTTTGGTGTGATAAAGACCCAAACTAGAGAGGCTACTTTTGTAGAGAAAAACTTTAATCTGAAGAGTTATTAAGTACTCAGTGGTTAGGAACCCCTCTCTGCATGTATATCCTTGTCTAACAATTAAAATATAACAGGAGGTCAAGATGCTCTAGACAAGGCAGACTAATTCAGCTGTTTTTCAAAACTCACGTTGATTTAACAGTTCCTGCACTCCTCCAAATTTCTTCTTGAAGAGGACAGCTATCCCAGCACCCATTCGACAATCCTCACTGATACAGTGCGCTAAAGAGTCTGTTTTGGGGCATGCAAAAAGGTCTCCTTTCACATAAGTGATCTAAAATGTGAAAAGGGAAAGAAAAGGTTTTATTTGATACAGAAAAACACTAAGCTGTTTCTTTCATTTCCCTTTACTGAGTCCCCCACCACTGTCCCTTTTTGATTTAAAACCCGACCTGCAGAACTTAAGGAACTACAACAAATTAAAGTATGTGTACAAGGATAGTGATGGATGGTTTCTGCCTAGGACTGTATCAGCCTTTCTGAAGTAAATCAGCTGGGGGGGGGGGGAAGACAATATTGCTTTAATTAAAAAGTGTTTATGCTTTTGACCTCAATTATTCTGAATTTCAGTTCACCGATAAGTTAATAGTTGTTACGCACTCTGCTTCCTTCTGAATCTTCATTAGGGCTGCCGGCCATGATACTGAGTCGCAATTTCCAGAACTTAAGTGTTTCTTCGGCTATGAGAAGGGAAAAGGAAGTAAAAATGCTTAGGCGGCCTGTATGTATTATATTCAAACTGCCCTGACCACCCACTTGGCAATTTCTTCCCCCACCATTTATCGCTGAACGTGAGCTCGTTGAGCCTCTAGGAAGTAATACAAAACTACTGGGGCAAGGATGAGGGAGAATGGCTAGGTCGCGGCGGCCGGGCCCCGCCCGCATTTCGCGCTTTCCTGGAGCGCTCCGCTCAGCCAGGGGAAGAAAAGGCGGTCCCTAGGAGGCGCCTCCTCCTTTCTCCGCGCCCGAGCAAGGCGGTTTGAGGACAGTCTCCTCTCCGCAGCCTGACCAAAAGTACTTCCCCAGTGGGTTTGGCCCACAAGAAAAAGGGAGGGACTTGGCCACAGTCCCGTCGAGCCGCAACCGAGGAGTGTCCGGACCAGGGGAGTGTACTGCGGAGCTGCAAGAGGGGGGGTGGAAAGGCGGCCTCTCAAGGAAGGCTCACTCCCACCTGCTCTTCGGGGGACAGGGGAAGGAGTCTAAAGAGGCCTCCCATTCTATGTCCTACCCTAGGGCGGGTCAGCGAGGGCGTACGGCCTGTCCTGGGGTCCCGTGGGAAGGAGCGGGAAGGCTGGCTCAAAACCTCAACGTACCCGGGTTACCCTTCACCTGGAAAGGAGTCGGCCGCTGCGAGGTCCCGCCCCGCGGGGAAGGGCTCCGGATCCGGCCCTGGTAGGTGGGAAGCAGCAGACGAACCTAGACGCGGAGCCAATCCCGCCACAGCCCTTAATTGCACGCACCTAAAATGGCCGCCCACCACCCAGGAGCGGGCGGAAACAAGCCCCTCTAGCTAGTCAGCCAAACTCCCACTCTTTGGTAATGGCCGCCGAACTTCCGGCGGTAAAATCCGTGGAATGTCCCGCCGCCGTCCGGGCATGCGTAACGAGACAGCCCACCGCGAGTGGGGAAGAACGGCGCCTGCGCATTAGTCCCAGGGGTGTGTCTCCAGCGACCTCAGAGAAGGGGGTGGGCAGTTGACAAAGGAGATAGTTAGCGCCTGCGTAATACTATGTTTAGGGCGGTGTTTGAGTTCAAGGATCTGGCGCGTCTAGAAGGCGCCTGCGCATTCCTTCAGCCGGAGATGGTGTCAAATCAGAGAAGTGGGCGTGGCTTCAGGGCACGCCTGCGCGATGCTCCTTCAACTGGGGGTGGGGCGAGCCCGATGCTGGGGGTTAGGGGGCGTGGTCTCAGAGGCGCCTGCGCGGAGGCGGTTGGAGGGAGGCCCCATTCCCCTTTGTTCGGGTTCGCCATTTTGCGAGGCAGCGGCAGTGGCGGCGGCAGCGGCGGCTGGAGCCTCTGATTGGGTTTCGGGGTCCGGTACTGGAGCCAATCAGCGCGGGCAGCGAACCGGGGGAGCGAGGCACGGTGAGTGTGAGGAGCCAATATCCAGCGGCCCAGAGCCGGCCCCAGCGCCCCGATTGGCGGGTCTCGCTGACCACTCAGGAGAGGCCCAGGCGCCCGTCGAGCCCCGGGAGTCTAGCTGAGCCTAGCCGAGCCGGGCGGCTGGCGGCCCCGGCCCGGGGCCTGTTAGTGCCCCGGGCCATTCCCGGCCGGGGCCTGCAGGGGGCCGCCCCGCGCGGGGATGGCGCCCTCGGGAGCGAGCACCCGGGGTCCAGACTCTTGCAGGGTGCCTGTGCCAGTTGGGGATGCGTCCCCCTTCTCCCGATCCTTAGGCCCAGTTTGTCAGGCCCCAGGCTCGGGGTTGGTGGCCTGCTTGCCACGAATGTCCCTACACTCAGGTCCACGCACGCCCGGGGCTTTGGCGATCTTCTCCAGATTGTTCGGGCCTCAAACTGAAGCCCGCCCTTGCACTCTCCGTGCTCCGGCCCTCCGGACGGGAAGTCTCCCGCGGGGCCCGCGATCCCCAGCCCTCCGAGAGCCGGGTCTGCCTGTCTGCAGCGCCCCTGGGTCGCGAGTGAGGCCTGGGGAAGGTACGCGCCGCGGCCACAGGGCCCGGGGCGCGGCGGGGAGAGGGAGCCTGCCTGCCCCGCCTCTGCGCTCTGCGGGCCCGCCCCCGCCGTCTCCCGGATCGGGGGAGGGGGCCCGTTAGTGCGCCCACTCCCCTGCCCCGTCGCGCCCCTCCTCTCAGCACGCTCGGCCCGGGTCTCCGGCCCGGCGCCGTTACCACCCCCTTTTGGCTCGTCATTTCCTCTTCTCCCCGCCCCGCTCGCCCGGGCAGAACCGCACACCTCCGTCTTGGAGTCCGACCAAGCGGTTTCCCTTTCTTGTCCTGGCTGTGCAGCCGGGCCAGTCCATTCGGTGCCTGGAACCTCACTCTTACAAGAGTGCCAGTCCTGCGCATTCCTTTTCCCGGAGGCTGCACAACTTGTTTCTCATATTATTAGTTTTCTCCATTGCTCATCTTGCGAACTCTCCCTTCTTCGGGAATGTAGAATTCTTTTTTTTTTTCTTTAACTTTTCTGTGTCACTTTGCATGTGCCAGGCTTGACTCATTAGTTCAGTCCACAGTCATCTCTTGATTTATTTTTTTAGCATACTTTCTAATTCCATGTTAACGTTTTCTACTCAGATATTTATAGAAACTTAAGAGTGTTGTGGGGTTCCGTTAGGGTGAGACGAAATCTTCATTGACAGTCAGGTCTCTAGCAGGTCTCTAGCATCAGTCTGTATGCTGGGGAGAAAGTAGGTAGAGGTCAATAAGAATCTTACCTGCCTGGTGGAGATTAACAAGTGAACAACTAATTAATACTTAAAGGTTAGTGCTATAAGGAGGCCAAGTTCAGTTCTGTGAAGTACTGGTGGGTGAGCTACTAAGAGCCTCGGTGGAAGACTCGATGTTGCCACACTTTTCATTGGCCTTGAAGGACAATAGGATTTCTTCCAACAAGAAAGAAGAGAAGAGCATGTGCAGAGGCACCAAATTGTGCTGTGTTTGAGGGGAAAGGTGGGTGAAGACACTGGGCAGTACTGGTGAGAATTTAGGCTGGAAAGCCCAGGTGATAAAAGCACTTGTATGTCTTGATAAGGATTTTCGGAAATAGTTATTTTTTTGGAGGTTCAGGTGGAAGAAATCCCGGAGTGTATTTTTTTTCAGGGTCTGAAAAACAAGTTTCTGACCTGTGGGCTTCTGCTCTACAACAGCGGCTGACTTTGGGGGAGGAAAGGAAGATTTTTCTTTTAGGATTTTAAAAGTTTTTATTCATGTGAAGCATCTACTACAGTCCTGGCAAGTACAGTAGGTCTTAAGTATATGGTGCCCATTTTTATGATCACATGAAAGGTCATAAAACTCTCCACTACTAAAACTTTGGAGACATTTTTTTGTTTCGTTTTCACTTTTTAGAATGCATTTCTCATTGTTTAAATCATGTTGTTAAAGTCATTTTGATTATTACATTATCCACATTAATAGATGGGATAGCATGTCTAAGGTATTTTTTAGAACATTTATATTTGTTTTCTGAATATTCTTTAAACCTTGGTATGTAAAAATGGATATATCTAGCCTCTTTAAAACCACCAGGCATTTTTCACTAGATTTTTTTCTAAAAAGCAGTTACAAATTATAGTCTGGTTGCTGTTGTGCTAGACATCTCTAGAGCCTCCACCTGTCTGCAGAAGAACTTCTTTGCCTAGAATTTAAAGAGATAGTATTCTGGCCTCTAGCTTTCTCTTGACATGGGGCCTTTTAATCTGCTGTTTATATCCTGAAATTTCTCTGTCCTTGTTTTTATGCTGTCTCTTCATTTAGAGTACTCCACCCCCTCCCACATCATCCCATGTATAAATCCTTCTCACACTTTGGACCACGTCAGGTGCCACATTTTCCTAAAGCCTTCCTTGACTTACCTATCCCCAGGTAGAAGAAATGTCTGTTCTCCCTGTTACTGTTTGACTTTGTTTCTCTCTTAGGGTTCCAGTATAGCTTTTTTCTTCTTTACCAAACGTAAAGACTCTTTGAAGTTAGGATCTTCGTCAGAGTTTTCTTTTTATTTATAAAACCTTCAGAATGGTGACTGGCAAATGATGCCTCATTAGTGGAGACAAGGAGCAAATTAGGAACTCCAATCTGGAAATCCCTCAGACAGTAGGGAAGCTGGACAGTCCTTTGTTCTCTGGTCTTTTATCAAACACAGATCAGGACCCATTTGTTGAGTTGTGAAATCAATTTAGTGGGTAATGCTAATTTTTTATAATACAATAGGAAATAACAATGTGCAGCTTATGTTACATAAAGATAAGCATTCATGGAAATTTTGTTTCAGTTACTTTTTTCTATGTTATGTGTGCAGTGATTTGTGGTCAAAAAAACTTGAAGGGATGTTACAGTCTTTACCTGGTAGTAATTGTTAAATATAGTAATTTTGAAGGGCTTTTCACATGCTTATGGTTGAGTTTTTGGAAGTTTTAGCTTTAAAATGGGTGTAGGGACACATAGAATAGGTTCCTGGTAGTTAGCTATGTTTAGGGTTCTGCACCTTGAAGTGGGGAGGAAGAGGATTTTCATGCTAGCCGGAATATACACACACTTGCTCTTTGAGGAAGAAACATCCAGAACTGTGTTAGGATCGAGAACTAGACTGAGTAAATCGGGCTGACTTAATTTTGTTCAAATCTTGGACAGAAAAGCACTGGAGGAAAGACAAATGTCACATTGTATTGCAGTTTTACTAACTGAAGCTCAAGGTAGTAGTAAGCAGAGGGCTTCATTGAAGCCAGTTGGGTACATGCTCACCCTTAGCAGTCTCAGTATCATGCTGCAACCTGAATCCCTCATTAATGGGAGAGAGAAATGCTCTTAGATTGAGAACTGCTTCCTTTTTTACCCTTCAGGGTACAGTGGATTGAAATGTTTTTAAATTGAAGCGTTTTTATTACTAGCATAAACTAGTTAAGAGGAAAATCTGCACGACGTTCTATTTATTACTTATTCTCATGTCCTTCATAAAATAAATTTCTGGAAATTAGTGATCATGGAAAAAATCTCATACAGGAAGGGGATTTGGGTGGCCGGGGGGGTTAAAAGAGGATGTTCCTTCATGATCCCATTTTTTTAAATCAACTTTATTGAGATACAGTTAACAGACACAAAGGGTAATTATTTTAAGTGTTGGTATGTCTAAGTATGTCACTATGTGACCACCACCACGATAAAAATATATAAAACATATTCATCACCCCAGAAAGTTCCAGATGCTCTATTCTAATCAACTTCCCACCCCTATCCTACCCTGCCTTTCCAGTCCCAGGGAACCACTGACCTGCTTTGTGTCTGTAGATTTCTCTGGCTTTTTGAGAGTTTCATATAAATGGAATCAGTTAGGCTCTTCTGTTACCATTATCCTTAATTCTTCAATTTCATTAGTTTATAAAGATAAATACATTGTACTACAGTTAGAGACAAGGTAGCTTAGGGAAGACCATTTACTTCCCTGGCAGAGTCCCTTAGACCTCCTGAAAACCCAGTTTTCTCTACTGTTCCCAGAATCTCAGGAGCCAACTTAGTCAACCAATTTCAAAGAGAACTGGTATAAAAATCAAAAAGTCAGTTTGTCACTATGCAATGAGAAATAAGTTCATTTGTGTTGCTGATCATATTTGCTTTTTGTTGGCATATCTGTATGTATATCTAAATTATAGTTAGTTGCTGGGTGAGCATTCCATCAGAGCAAGGGTAGTGAGTTAGAGAACCATATGGCCACAGAATAGCATGCAGTGATGGCACAGTCATCCTGTCACTTATTTATGGCTCTTACACCCTTACTCTGCATACCATTTCGTTTATGAGTAATAGGCTACACACATAGTTTAGTATAAAAATTTTCAAACATAAGTAAAGTTGAAAGAATTTTACAGTAAACACTAGCATACCCATCACCTAGCGTCTTCTGTTAACACAGTACCATACTTATCAGGTATCTCTATCCATTCATTCATCAATCCATCTTGTTTTTTGATGCATTTCAGAGTGAATTTTATTTTTTTTTTATTTTTATTTTTTTAAAGATTTTATTTATTTATTTGACAGAGAGAGACACAGCGAGAGAGGGAACACAAGCAGGGGGAGTGGGAGAG